CCCCGCCCCCTAAGTACTTTTGACACTCATGCAAGATGGCAGCCCATAATGCAAAGCACTCGATCTCGACGATCTTACGGAAAAATGGAGGACTGTGAAAAAGTTCTTAATTCTGTACGCAAAACAAAAGAAGTCAGGGTCAGAAAGTAGAGTCTCCTGTCTTTAACAGGGTAGCAAATATGAGCAAATTTTGTCTTACGACAGGGTCAGGGTTTGATAGCCTGCGAGCAAGCTCTCCGGGGTGCCCTGGCGGCAGGGCAGGAAAAGGAAAAAGAGCTTGCAACTACGTCTTTGGAATTTGAATATCTGCATTGAAAAAGTCAATGCAAAATGCTGATTGGCGGAGATGACATTAGTAATGACGTCATTACCCTTAGCACATGTTGCATCAATATTTGTTTACATTCGCGCTCGTTTCCACTTCGGGCCAATTGGCAGAAATCTGACAGCTCAGTCGACGGGGAGCCTCAGGGGAATTGGAAACAGAATTCAAATTCCAGAGACATAGTTGCAAGCAAGCTCTCCTTCCTTTTTCCTGCCCCACTGCCATAGCGCCCCAGAGAGCTTGCTTGCAGGCTAGGGTTTGAAGGCCTCTGCAGCACACCTCTACCCAGACTTCCTTTGAGTGCTCCTCTTGAGGAGAGCCCAACCAGTTATCAGCTGTGGATCACCATGGATCACAAATACAATCAATGAAATCTTATCACGAGGAGACAATTTGTTTGAAAGTGCCGTAGACAATCAACTCAGCAGAATAGTTTTTGGCAGATAACCTTCCTATTGCAGTTCAGTACTTTTTCTAACCAGGTACATGAAGCAACAGAGGGGCTGAATTTGCCAAGTTCTTTAATAGGCCTTATTATTCCGTGCAGCCAAAGTGTTTCCGTTCACGTGGTCCAAGCGAAAATGTGAGGGTGTTTCCCGCTCGTTTCTCTCAGATACGTCACTGAAGTGAATTAACCGAGAAGGACTGGGAAAACGCCGTACAGAGACTAGGCAACAGTTGAGTTACAATAATTGAGGTGAAAACAAATGAATTGCTTACCGAGGTGGGCAACCTGAATTAAGGTTTGCCTGTTCATTTAAAATAGGTATAATTTGTGTCTCATGAAGTAAAAGAGTGAAACAGAAACGAATATGTACAATTCAGTGACAATTCACAAAATTGAAGACACTTTAAACCTTTTTTAACCATGCCAAGTCTCCCGGATGCGGCATCAATTTCCCGCTCTCCCATATGGGTCTCCATATCTCCGAGATAAAATCATCTTTTGAGCTTTTCTGTACGTTAGTTTGAAATTTGGACCATTGTTAGCTCAAAACTTGAATTTTTCTTATTTGCAGTACAGGTTCTGGGGCATTTTGCACCTATTTAGTCACTGACAAAGATTATTTCTGGCATCAAAACAATGATCGTGAATTTTGATAGTATGTAACTCATGTAAGACTTATATAATGTCCTAAATCATTCCCATTGGGGACTGGGTCAATTGTCGGTGGGAGGAGGGATTTGTAGCGAAAAAAAAGGGAGTCTCCAGATTTTAGATCTCTAGAGGTTGGCATCTCTGCTTTTTTAATATCTCTCCACTGTAAATAAGACTTTATTGTGTATTTAAGCAATAGAACACACTTTCTATGGGTTTACCAGCGTGATAACCCACGCGGGATGTTGGGAGAACAAGAGAAAAGTTCGGCTCGTGATTTACAAGCTTTTCAAGTATTCTCCCAACATCCCAAGTGGGTTGTTATGCTGGTAAATGCATAGAAAGTGTGGTCTATTGCTTTATAAAATAACTTACTGGCACAATAAACCATAGGGTTTTTATTAAACCAATCAGAATGCATGCATACTATCTTAGTTATTTTTTAATTGTCAACAACAATCCAACCTGATTTTATATACAACCTCTCATTTACAGTGTTTATTTTAAAAACATACGGATAATATGTTACTGGGATATATCAATGCTTGTGTTGATTATTAATATTATAACTAAAAATATTTGGGCATTCATTGCTTGGCATAATGTTTTGTGTTTGTTTTTATTTGGAAGATAATTCTAAGAGTAAGTAGGTTACGAATTATAGTTGTCACACATCAAGTGCATATTGTATTTTATACATCATCAATTTACTCTCGCCTTTTTTATCTTACAACCTCTCCACAACAGCCAGTTGTTTTGGGGGACAGTCCATATATTGACTTTTGTTTAAATCGTATTTATATTGTTATTATTCAGGGTTAGTAATTAAAGCTACTGTTCATCAAGACGATCGAGTTTGTTTTCACAACAATTTCCTTGACATTTCACCTATTTCACTAGAATGGCTATTTTGAGTTTAATTTTAAAGGTATTTTTTTAAATTGATATATGAAAGTAAATAATGTACGGTGATAGTTATATTATTTATACTTATAGTCTGACTCTAATACAGTGAAAGCCCCTACTCTTAAATGGACAGCTCTACTCATAGCAGCCTTGGCATTAATTCCCAATGGAATTTTTCAGTTACAAAAATTACCATCCTTCTAAGCGACCAGCTTCACTGAGTGCAGAACTTTGATTTTATTGTGAATTTCGTTATAAACAAAGTAGTTAAATTCATAATTAATGTTTCAAATATTTATAGTTCTGATGTATTTCAATCCATTTATTTTTTGGATCATTTAAATGAATGTTTCTTTTTCTTTCTGTAGCCACTATCTTGTCTGCTTATATTTCAAAATCATCGCAGCAGAGGAGGAGAACAAGGCTACAGCTGGTCAGGTAAGTGTATGCCCTGTCAGATCTAGCAAACGTCCTACCTACCCCTCCCTTATCCAAATTTAACCCTTACCTTTTCCCTTTGGTCAAAACTTTGGGTTATAGGGGAGGGGTAGGTGGGCAGTTTCATAGAATCTGCTAGAACAGTCTCGTGGCCGGACTAAAGACTATTAGATATTGTGGTGACTTGACCAAGTGGTTAGAGCATTGGACTTAAAAGCCAGAGGCCCTGGTTTCAAGTTTTGCCCTGACTGTTTGCTAAATTTTTTCAACTGTAATCTCAGCCATGCTTGTGAATAGCCAACGGGTTTGCCTGCAGCCAGTTGGGATTCTAACCTCGCTATGTCTATTTGAATTTTTGTTTCAATCAGTTGTTTGCTTGGCCCATGCACTAGCTTTTGAGCAATAAATAATGCCAAGCCTAGGTAAATAAAGGAATTATTATTGTTGTGTCTCTCACAAAATGATCATTGGTTTGACCTTGCTAAGAAGAAATTGAAGAATTCTGTGGGCAAGACAAGTAATAAAGGGGAGAGCTGTATGTTGGCTAGCAAAAAGTTCACCTCACTCTCAGTTTGTAGAAAACTACTTGAAGGCGAGCCTTTCCATTGTGCAACATTTTGGGGGTATAGTAGTATTTTTTTTTGGCCTTGTTTAATACTATTTTCCTCAGTAATAATTTATTCACAGTTGAATTCACAGCAGTGTCCTTTTGGCCAGAAGTAAACTTACGGCAAGTTTTAGCCTGCTGAGGGCAGGTTTAAGGGGAAAAAATAATGAGACACAAAGGAAAAACATATTAACAATTTACGAACATATAAAATAATGTAAAAAGTGATACATAAATTGGTAAAAACGAACAATAAAATTCAACGTTTTGGAGTAGTCATGACTCCATTATGAAGGAAAAGTGTTTTTGATCATGCAAATTACAACATTTAATTCAAAAAGTGATGTGGTGCAAAAATTAACATAACAGAGTGCAAAGATTATGAAAATACATTTTTCACACGAATATACTTCAAATACAAATACTTCAAAAATACAAATAAAAAAGTTTACTTCATATGCAGGGTGACAACTAGTATGCATTTAAAGATCCAGCTTTTTGGTTCCTGTTTTTATGTTCAAACCTTTATAAATAGAAGTGCAACGTATAAAGCAGGATTTAATTTTCAAAGTTTCAATTGCAGGAACTCCTTACGTGACGATAGAAGGTCACACGAGCTCTCAACCACAACAAGGCTACACTCCAGTTCCAGCCCCAGGCCAACCTTCCTCCTCATAAGAATCAGTGAGACTGTCTGCCTGCTGCCTTTAAGAGCTTTTTATAATTAATAACTGGTTCTGATGTATTCTACCAAGTAGTGCGTCAGTTCTTTTTAATAGAAAAACCAAGTGAGGAAATAATGAATGATGCTATTGTCAATTTAGTTTAGTATACATTTTATTAACTTTACTTGAACCAAACATTGTACCTTTAGTTAACATTCAAGGCTGTGGTCTATGAAAAATTGAAGGGGGCCATTGCTCTAAACCTGTAAATCTAGGGTGCCTAGGATATGATTTGAGTGCTAAGATCTCCTAGTTGCCCAAGAGCAAAAGTTGAGTACCAGGGGCCACGAGGCTCTGCTAGAGTACATCCTTGATAGTTGTTAGTTTTTTTCTCTCTGCTAGAAAATAATCATTAGGTCTTGCAGATAGACTTAATGGGAACCTTAAGCATCCACAACGAAATGAATGATGACAATGCTTCGCAAGTTACCGAGGCATACTGGGCTTTCATTTCCGGAGGGGAAAATGAATTTTAAGCAGTGCAGCTTCCCAGAAAGACAACAACTTTTTCTTTGCGAGGAACTACTTTGTCTTGTTACAGTCTTGTTATGGCATTCAAAGACCTCCATAATTTGCATCTGATAAGCTAAGACAATGGTTTAATCGACGCTGGTGAATTTATTGTTCTTTACGACCTTTATTTTTTGATTCTGGAGGCATTCTTTTTGTCGCGTAGCTTTTGCCTTTGTTTTGAAGTTAAAAGTCAATACCGATTTCAACAGCTCGTGCAGTTACTGTAAATTTTGGCTGCCCAGGTCAGGAAGAGAATTCAGTGCTTCTTCAATGTTCTCCCATATTTGGGAAAATTTCACTTCTGGTCTGCAGCGTTGTCGCATTTCTTCTTTGATGCTTAAGGTCTGTAATAGTAAAATTAGTGAGAGTTACATAGCAATCCAATATATAATGTAATCTACTTGTAGGTATTGAAGAAAAATAATGTTTCTAACACGAGTCATGTTTTAGTATTAATATTTAAGTAGCAATTGTATTGGTTGTTTACAATTTACAAAAAGTTTCAGGAAAATCCAGTTAGAAAGTATATAACAACAGAGCATCCAGGTCAGTATTTCCTTACCGGTCTTGAATTTTGCATACTATTTGACCAAACCATGAACCAATCGGTTTGTCCGTGTAAATGGTAAACAATCATAAATTATTATTGTTTTCAAACAAATCATGAATTCAATAAACATTTCCAGAAGTTGCATAAAATTAAAGTGGCTGTGTCACGGTAGTCCAGTTCATTTTGTTTAATTATTTTTGCCAATTACTCACCCTCAATCGCTATGGAACTTAAAGTAAGCAAAGAAATTACAGGTAAATGACAAAATCAGAGATCCGAGACAAACCAATATGTCTCTTGGGCATTATTTTTGAAGTTGCAAGCAGCAGGGATCAACGTTGAAAAACTGTTAGGCTTAACAGTTTTCAAAAACCCTAATTTCAATCTGTTTCAGTCTTCTTCAGTTTTACCCATCCGTGGCATCTGTTGTTTCTGTTATGTGATTTTAACCTTCTTTTAAAGTTTTAAGCGGTTATTTTTATGTTTCTCTTAATTTAACGGGCATTTTGTAATTTATTAATTGGGCTAAATTTTGTGACACCGCTCCTTTAACTTTTATCACGATAGTAATGATATTGCCATGATGTTGTGACAGACATACAAAAGGTGTAATGTCAAACCTGACTATATTTCCATGCAGACATTCAGAAAGATTAAGCACACATGAGTGCCAGCTGCTTTGGCCTTAGCTTGATGAAGGTTGTACACCTCAAATAACCTGATGCTCTGATTTGTAGAGGCTTTGTCTAGCGACGTAAACTAAAGTTGTTCAGTGACAATTTTTATGAACATGCCTGTGCATTATAATATATGCATGCAGTTGGCATGTTCTCTTGCTTGAAATGTAATTTTTGTTTAGGGCTTTGCCAAACTGGCTTTTTATTGTGAAGTGTCTAATTTTTTTGTAGTTTATATATTATTCCTGTTTCAGAAAGTAGCCAGTTGATTATAATAGGTAAAATGTTCTTGGAAATGAGATGTTATTGTTACCAATTTTGCAGTGAAGTCTAAACATTATTTTATTAACAGACATTGTTACGGTACAACTGTAATAAATTAGAAAGATTTTTCCAATAAAAGATAATATTCATTATATCGATTGTGGTTTGTTTGTGACTGGTTTTATGTCTCAGCATGCCTAGCAGGGTAAAAATCCATCAACAATAATTGAGGTTTCAGAATCCACCAATCAATAGCAATCATGGTGTTTCTAGTAGCCCTATACCTAATTTGATCTTTTCTCTGCAGAGGCCTCTTTGTGTCCAAGGGAAGTCTCCTCCCTCGCAGCCATTTTCATCTCCTTATGCAATGCTCCTTCCCAGCATCCATTTGTTGAGGAGGAGCATCACATGACAAAACCACAACGGCTGCGACTGAGACTAATCATGGAGGGACTGGGGAGAGGGAGGAGATAAAAAGAGGCTTTTGCTCATTAGACGTAACAAATACAATGATTGTGTGAACATTTTTCTAGAACCAAATCTTGTGTCCCTTCAATAGAGGTGTCGCAAAGGAGAGGTTCTACTGACAATGTCATTTGGTGATCACACCTGTTCAAACACAATGAAACTACAAAAAATGCACATTACATGAGTTTATTTTTAATATTCATGATAGCCATGATGTCATGACAAGAGATCACAGCAAATAATAGCTCTATGGCAAATAAGAAAGCATCATAACAAGGTCTTTAGCCTGACAGGAGTAAATGTCTCACAATTTGGATCTTAAAACTTGACGTCAAATTGTATTTTTCCAGAAAATATACATACTCCCCCCACTGGGGGGGTTCAGGGTAGGTTTTCTCCCTCCCCCTCTGGAAATTCCAGAACCCCCTTCCCACTAAAAACATCTGTATTTGAAGCTCCATGGAAAGGAGGTGGGAGGGTATGGATATTTTTTGGCGCTATACAATGACACCTCACTCACTAGCCACAGCTTAACCACTGGCCCCCTGTTCTTTCATCTGACGCTCTTCTTTCCTCTCTTTAGCACGCCTCTTTCGGTCCTTGATATTTTGCAAACGCCTACGCTTGAATACTTCTAGCTTCCGTCTTTTCCTATACTTGTGTTTCTTCATCCTCTTGTGACGTTTTTTCAGTATACTGCTGAAAGCTACTGTAGGAATATCTTTTGTTTCATCGCCCATGGTGAGTTCCTGAGATTCTTTATCACCAATAACCTTGTCAGCATTTGGCAAGTAGAACGGAAATATGAATTCGTGAATTTGCTGCTCAAGAACAGATGCATGTGGGAATTTTATTGAGACCATAGGGCTGCAGTTATTGTGCACATCTCTGTAAATATCACTTGAGTTAATCCAAGGAAAGATGAATGTTTGTAGGATAGGTAACGAAGAAGTTGATGGTATGTTGCTTGTATAGTAAGTGTCATTTACGGGTTTCATTGACAATAAAAGTTTTGCATCTACAATGAGAATGAGAAGCAAAATAGGAAATGATCAGCATATGACACAGGCCAAATCGCCTTAACATTTTACCATACAGTTAAAACCTGTAACCAGACCTTGCTTTGTTACCCTTCGTGCACAACATCAAACTTCAAAGACAGAGACTACAGGATTCCCCTACAAATGTGCCAGCCCAAATACATATCTGTAGATCATAATATTGATGAGCTTTATGTTGTACTTCTCCTCCTCTTAGGCCTGGCTCAGACACCAAACTTAAAACTTTTTATGAGCTGAACCTATTTATGAATTTAACCTGACCCAAACTATTTGGACTGCCTGAATTGATTCAGATGCCGAACTTAATTCAAAAGGAGAAAAATGCTCATTTTGATCAAACTGCTTGCAAAATACTTAATTATAATTTATGCCATGTAGGTTCCGTACATGAAAAGTTTAGCATCTGAATCAAAGCTACTCCAAGGCCGTTCCACAGTCACAATTCCCGGCCAGGCTAGGCGTGAAGAACGGCTGAGCCATTCCAAATTGAAATAGGCATTCCTAACTGATTCAGACGCCGAACTTTTCATGTACTTAATTCCAATGTACAACGAGACCAGCAAAGGACAGAAGCAAAAATCACTGACAGTTGCACACGATGAAGAGCTCAATAAAGCCCTGTATGTCTGGTTTATTCAGCAACAAACATCTGGCACTCCAGTTTCTGGTCCCCCCAACAATTTGTTAAAGTCTTGTTTCACGATCAAAAGTCATTTTCTCAATTTTATCAGTTTTCTTCTTCATTAATATTCATATTTTCGATTATCCGGACCCTGGATTATCCGGACTATTTCGTCTGGTCCCAACGAGTCCGGATAATCGACGTGCGACTGTATTAGGTTCAGCTCATAAAAAGATCAGTGTCTGAACAGGGCCTTAATCCTTTTAAGTCCCAATGGTGACCAACATCAATTTTCTCCTAACGATATCCACACATTATCAAGAGATTATGTTATGAGAATTAATAAAATCATCACCAAAGAGATAATGCCTTGATCTTTTATCAAATTCTCTCAACACATTCTTTATGGAAATGTACAGAGATCAGTTTGGAGAAATTGTATGTGGATATTGGGGCTTAAAGGGAGGGAGTTAACACTCTAAACATTGATAAAAGGTTTGATGAATGTCAAGTTGGCCTGAGACTCGTGCATGTGCCAATGATTGCAATGTTTTTATTCCCAGAATACCTAAGGATCCTTACCTTCCATACAATCACTCAAAAAACTAACAGTTATTTTATTTTATCTATTTTTTTTGTAAACATGATTAAGTAGTGGTTTTGTTTCACTTGTTGTGTACCTGTTTACTTGCGACTTTTTAAACGGCTTAAGTTGCATCACTCAAGAGGCGCAAGTTATTAAAATTCAAAAGCCCTTTTTATACTTAGTAGGGTAATGTTGTCACTTGACCATTTCATTGTAAAATTAAAGTGAAGGAATTCTCCTTTTAAGACATGTCCTTTCAACAAGTATTAAGAAAATTACACATTTTCATACATTTCTTGGTGGTGATTATGGTTTGGTGGGAAAGTGTGACCGTACATCAAGAGCTTTGCTCCACGGTACCATAGTGATATGCATGAAACAGACATCTCGCCACCAAACAATCTATATAGCCTCCAACGAAATCAGTAGATTACTTGCCAGACAAGACAGCAAATGATATATATATTTATATTTATGCTAAGTTTTATATCCAGCTAAACTTCAGATTACTCGGCCATTTCTTTTAAATCTGGACCTCCACTGCGTTACACCTCGTCCATCAAAGAGTGATGGAATGGAACGAACACTGGCACTTTACCGACTTAATTTTGCAAATGTGGCTTCTATTTCATTTTACATCTCTCCAATTTCTTTTGATGTGTCAGTCAACTTTGAGAGCGCGGCGAATGATTTTTTTTGAAACATTTTGGTGAAACAGGGGCGGCCCGAGAGTGATACGTGTATGTAACAGTTTATTCGGTACAGATATCTGGCCACTTCATTTTAATGTCATGAGAGGAACTACGACTACCAGGGACTACAGTGCGAAACAACTGAAAATAATAAGGAAAAAAAGGAAGGAAGGAAAGATTCATGGACAACAGATGTTAGCCTCAATTTCATCCGATTACTTCGAGTCGTTATTACTCAGAGGAGAAAACGACTGAATTCAGGTTACAACAGATGTGCCCTCTTGTAATTATTAATAAACACTGTTTACCTTTATCCGAATTTCTTGTGATCAACTTACTACTGCAGCTGTTCAGTTTTCGTGCATGAATGCAGGAAGCAGCTATTCTAGATAAAATTTGCCTTTGGAATTGCATTCCTGGTGAGTAGATCGATCAGACTTTCAAGCCGCCATGTTCGAAACAATCACTGTATCTCAGTTTACCGCGGTCGTTGGAAAGGCGCGGTACCTCGGCACGTTAGAAGCGAGGGGTCCGTGCACACTTCGGCCAATCTAATTTTGTATTTTTCCAACAAAAACGGAAAAAGGAAATATTACTTATCGTTATCATATTTACATATTTTAAAGTACAGACAAAAATAGAAAAAAAGAAAATGGTCAGGAAAATTGATCATTTTTTCATTTTTCTAATTTTGAAGTCCGCTTCAAAAATACAAAAAATACTGTAAAAGCGATATTTTGCTATTTTTTATTTGTCGCTATTGTTAGAAAATGAGAAAAATAAAATAATCTCCGATTCTTAACTCATTTTTCTATTTTTCCGTTTTTCGCAAAAAATAGAAAAAAGGAAAAATGAAAAAAATCTAATTTATTCCCACCATTTTTTCATTTTTTCCATTTGTTCAAAAAATGAAAAAATAGAAAAATGGCATACCTATCGCCTAATTTTCCATAATTCCGTTTTAACAAGAAAAATGAAAAAAATGACAAGTGTTGCGAACAATTTTTTCATTTTTTCAATAAATAGAAAACAAACAAACAAACAAAAACGGACAATTTTTCATCTTTTGTTTTAATGAAAAATAGCAAAGAAAAATGACAAATCATGAGCATTTACCAATAAAGAAAAGGAAAACCTAATCCACTTTAGACTCACTAGTTTTGTTAGACGATTTACACAGGGTCGGCAGAGACGTGGGATGGGAAGGGGGAGCTTGGGCCCTTTAGTTCTCGGAATGCGAACGTACTTTCATTCATTTTTGGATTTGATTGGCTGATTCCTTTACCTCATTACTTAGGACGCACTCTGTGACCTGTTCTAACACTGCGTCACCATAAAGTGTTCCTGTTCCATTCAAACTGTGGAACGTTTCCCCATACTTGTCGCATGGGTTTCCCGACATTAGCGATCTTTGCTCTCGTCTTTCCAGGGCTGACTTGCTTAAAAGGTGGATAACGCTATCGGCTGGATAAATAACTATCCAGTAGATAACGCAATTGGTTTCCCTAAAATACATAAAAAAATTATCAGGCCGCTGGATAGGGATTTATCGGGTGGATACTCGCTATCCAACGTTTAAACAAATGTATGAGCAAATGTATGGGGCCAGATCATTAAGATGTTCTCTCCCGCGAATGTATACTAGCCGCCTCATTAAGTTTCTCCTCCATAATATCAATTCAATATACTTTACTCTTGCAATCCTCAAACAACCGTTTTGCGGCAAGTTCCGTTATTTCGGCAGGCTAAGGGTTAGCAGGGTTAACCCTTGACCCAGGGTTAACCTTAAGCAGTCTACTTTCTATTTCATTTAAAAGCGTCTGACCTCGAGCTCTGGCGTGCTCTTTCTTTATTTTGTGCATGTGACTGTTCAACGACCTTCTTCTTAACTCCTTCAACTTAATCTCTCTCACGAACCGCTTTTTTTGTGCCGGGACCATAGTTGCTGGCATGAAAACCTGAAAACCGTTGAGTTACCCCCCCTTTTTTCCTGTACCAACTTTCACGCCTTCTCCGCCTCCCTCGTACCCTTTCTAATATTCTTCATTTCCACGGCCGGTACGGTACGGTTTTCCCGCCGCTTTCATCCACAGTCGACTCCCGACAACTCAAACCTTCAGGGAAATCGAGATCAAAAGTGAATGGAACTACGTCCGCATCTCGAAAACTAAGCCGCCGACCCCCCCTCCCCACACAAAAAAAAAAAATTCCCCACATCTCCGCCGACCCTAACGAAATTAGTGAGTCGACAGTGGATACGAATTAGGTTTTTCTTTTCTTCACCGTTAAAATATTCATAACTTCTCACTTTTCTGCGCCATTTTTCAATAAAATAAAAAATGAAAAACTGTCTGAAAGGGTGTATCGTTTGAAAGTTTTTCTATTTATCAAAAAAAAAAACCGAAAAAACAGACAATTTTTCGCAACACTTGTCATATTTTCGTTTTTTTTTATTAAAATGGAATTATGGAAAATTAGGCGATAGGTATGCTATTTTTCTATTTTTTCATTTTTTGAACAGAATGGAAAAAATGAAAAATGGTGCGAATAAATATGATTTTTTCATTTTTCCGTTTTTCTATTTTTTGCGAAAAACGGAAAAATAGAAAAATGAGTTAAGAATCGGAGATTATTTCATTTTTCTCATTTTCTAACAATAGCAAGAAAATAAAAAATAGCAAAATATCGCTTTTAGCCGTTAACAGTATTTTTTGTATTTTTGAATTTAACTTCAAAATTAGAAAAATGAAAAAATGATCGATTTTCCTGACCATTTTCTTTTTTTCTCTTTTTTTTCTGTACTTTAAAATATGCAAATATGATAAGGATAAGTAATATTTCCTTTTTCCGTTTTTGTTGGAAAAATAGAAAATTAGATTGGCCGAAGTGTGCACGGACCGCGAGGAGCGTGACGAGACGTCAAAAATAAAATGTCGGTCTCGTGGATGTTCAAGAAAATTATTCCTTCTTATCGATTACTATCAATTACAATCGATTGTTATCGATTTTTGCAAGAGAGATCGATTATAATCGATAAATTATCTTTCCTTTGACTTCGATTTCTATCGATTTCCGTTATCAATGAACTGGACTTAGGCCTTTCCCGATTGCGCTCGTAAAATCCTAAAAAAGTGCTGGCAAAAATGGCTAAAAAGTGCTCAAAAAGTGCTCAAAATCTCAAAATAGTGCTCAAAAAGTGCTAAAAGTTGTGAACAGTTACCTCTAAGCTTTTCGTAAATGTGTCAATTTTTACTGAAGTAAGTAACAATCTATTTTGCGTAGTGTTATTCGACAGGTTGTTACGAAAGGTTGATAGAATATAGAACAATATTAAATATTAAATAAATTCAGCAGTACTAGCATCAGATGATTTAGGGCCTGTTTACATGGAGTGGGGGATCCCGGTCTCGTGGGTTTGGTTTCTTGAATTTCAAAACAGCGGTGTACCCGATCCGTAGTTGTAGCGCGAGTGAAAAGAACGGGAAGAAATTTCTCCTTTCAACCCTAAACAGTTAACTGAAGTGAATTGTTACATAGCCTATGCCAGGCTCTCAGATAGTATAGTGGGAAAGTATTTTCAAAGCGAAAATAAGACGCGCACGACGGGCGGTGGCGGCGGGAGAAATGGGAGAGAGAGCCTGCTAGCATTTCTTTAACGACCCTCTTCCGCCCATTTTTGTCACGCCTGGATTCGGCTGTCAAAACTGTTAACACTTCAGTTAGATACAATGATTCTCAAGTTTCTCGCGTGAGCATTGCACGCGACGCGAACTCCTTGTGCGATGTGTGGAAATTTATGTCTTAGAATTCGTTATCCTGTGAGAGCATCCGTTTTTTTGGCTCTAGTTTATAGCAACAAAAGGGGGCGGTAAGTTTTTTCCTCTGTTGGGTAGGTTTTGCTCTTGTCACTGAGCAAATGTGACTTTAGAAGCTTGTTTCACACTGAGAGGTCATGGCACACATATCGATTTACTGTGGCGTTTGTTTCTGGTCGGCAGGATTTCCACCACCATCTCTGAGCCTGGAACAGGCTAATTGTTACACTGCTGCGGTGTTGCCGAGTTACATTCCTGTCCCCTGGGAGTTGGGGGGTTTTAATTCATTTATTCTCAGTTTGCATTGTGAGCAGAAAACAAACTTAAGCATTGAGCTCGATCAGGGAGCTTTCAACTAAAACTGCAGTACTGTTGTTTTCATCTTCGATCATCTCTGATGTTTGCCGGCTTTCGATTTCATAACCGGGCTCCTCTTTGAACTGTGGAAATGTGTCTCTCACGGAATCAGTTAGTCGAAAGCCACAGTTCGATCACGCAACGGATCACGCCATATCACGTGTCTGCCAAAAGGGCAAGAGTCCAGCCACCGATTATATAATGCCCGTTCTACAGCGGTAGTGTTTATAACCAAAAACGTTCTGTGCTGTCCATACAAGAACATGGGTACAATTTACGTGTTTTCCATTGCTTTGCACGTGGTTGGTGCCTTTTTGAACATACGATTGTTAGTGAGCTGCTTGAAATTTGGCGAGAGATCCAATCTTCAATTGAGTGGCCGAGCAGGTATTATACTCCAAGCTATTCTTCAGCTCACACTTCTGGGTCTAAACGCCGACGATTCTATGAATTTATTTAGCAAACAACAGCAACTGGGTTGGTGCAACATGAACGGCGTTCTCATTATTTCTGTGGGGTTCGTCTTCTTCTACAACATGGTGGCCATCATAGCTATCGAATATCCCTCAGTATTCTGTCTCAAACAAGAACTGTCTCCTCGAACAGCCATGTTTGGAACACTGACGGCCAGCATCAGTACAATAGGTGTGTTATTCTGGTCCGGCTTTTTCAGGTTGGAGAATATGTGTGAGTCCCGGGTACCCTCCGCTATTGTCTGCTCGCTGCTGTTTCTTATAACGATTCCGATTGTTTGGAGAATTTGCAGAGCTAAAGAACCAACCACGTCCTCAAGCAATAAAGTTGATGAACCGTCCTACCGTCTTCTGGATTTACTGAGCGCTGACAAGACCAGTACTATCGTGTCCACCAGCTTTTTAGCGCTTGTTTTTTTGACGTTGAGTTTGCAAGCAATCGGGTACTCGTTCAATTTTCAAGAAGAACAGTTCGAGTCATTCTTTTACGGCGAGAAATTACTCTATCTATTCACCATGTGTTTTGGTCTTGGCATTGCCTTACCTATAATTTCCATGAAGGTGATCGAATTTAGCGTCTGCGAGGAAAACATCGATGGTTATATTTTACGTGTCTAAATGGCCAGCGGCCGGTCAAGGCAGCCTTTACGCGCCTTTCAACGCCTGCCTACAAAGCCCAGAGGATGTCTGCAAGGTAGTAGTCTGCGATCTGCGAATACAGCTCCGGCTTATTGCTCCCTGCCGGTCGCTTGGGCGTTTAGCAAAAAAAAGGAACGATAGTCGGATGAAAAACTGCCTTTGTACTACATTAATTGCAGTCAG